AAGAAATATTAAAAAAAGAAAAGAAAAGAAAAGAAAACACCTTCAGCTTAGGTGCCCTGGTGCTTAAGACACTTCCAGACCCAAAGGGCTTCTCAACCTGAATACTGTTAATATTTGGGACCAGAGGGGGGAAGATAGACAGAGACAGAGAAGAAGCCCATGGAATGAGGGAGGCAGAGACTGGAGTGATACAGTGACATGACAAGGAGCACCAAGGACAGTCGAAGTACCAGAAGCTAGGAAGGGGCAAGGAAGGACCCTCCCCTAGAGCCTGCAGAGGCCCTGCCCGCACCTTGGTTTTGGACTTCCAGCTTCTGGAACTGTGAGAGAATAAATTTCTAGAGTCTTCAGCTGAAAAAATAATTAACTAATTAAAAAACAGGAAGAAGAAGGAGGAGGAGGAGGAGGAAGAAAAGAAAATATCCTGGGAGCTTTCAGAGAGGCAAGCAAAACAACAGATACATAAAGAGTTTCAGGACTCTGAATATCCTTTGGCTTGTCAACACCAACGCTGGAAACTAAGACACCGTGCAGGAATGCCTTGGAAGTTCTGATGGAAATGGTTCCAACCTTGAATTTTATACATATGAGCTATTGATTCAAGTGTGAAAGTAAAATAAATACAATTTCTGACATGCAAAGCATGAAGCTTGYCTCATGTACACTTTTTCTCAGGAAGCTAAAAAAGCATGGGTCACACTAAAATAAAAACCACCAAAAGGCAATTACTAAGTACAAGAAACAGAAAAGCCAGCACAGAGGGTAGGTAGACACTGTCAGGAATGGTGAAGGACAAACCAGGCCAATGGCAACTAATGACCACTAGTTGAGGTTGTTGTTCTCTTTTGGGGCAGGGTGAGGGGGTGTTGGATACCGAGGATTGAACCACTGAGCCACATCCCCAGCCATCGTTTGTTTGTTTGTTTGTTCTTTAGACATGATTTAATTAAGTTGCTTGAGGCCTTGCTGAGTTTCTGAAGCTGGCCTCAAACTTGCCATCCTCCTGCCTTAACCTCCAGAGTCAGTGGGATTACGAGCATGTGCCACTCTGCCTGGCAATTGTCGCGTTCCTGGAGACAAAAACACCCAGGGTCACTGCAGGGGAACTGGGCTACACGAAATAACCACACAAGAGACAGAGATACCTTTTTCTTTGGGGGTCCTGTGATGGCTCCTCTGACCTTAAGGGTCTGAAGAAAGAGAGCGAACAAGCATGTGCCGACCCCTTTTATTGAGGAGAAGCCATTCACATGAGGCTGAGTCTAGCTTCTGATGTCTGCTGTCAGCAGGATGACTGACATCTAGGAAGCCCACACCCAAAGGCAGAGCAAGAGAAGGGGACACACCAAGGGTGTTTCCATGGAACATTCTATCCCAACAGGGCAAAGGGGTAATATCCAAAGGAACAGGTGAGCGCACTCGACCCATGGGGCTGCAGGAAGGAACGCCTGTGCATGAAGACACATTCTGCTACTTTGGGAATTGGGCAATCAATGTCCAGGTCACTACGAAAGTGACYGACAGAGCCTCTTCCGATCAAGGGAAGGAGAATGCCAGTCATTCAGTGAGACGGTCTCCCACAGGCAATTAGTTGAGACTGGATCAGAAAGAAGGTTCTGAACATTGTATCTGATCATAAAATTGACAGGAGGCCTAATGTGTCTGTGTTGTGAGGAAATTTGTCATTCGTTAATGATAGGTACAGCTAGCACTAAGCAAAGAGAAAAATCGGACAAGTATGAGCTCCAGGGAAAACAAAAAGCCACCTAGAGAAAGAAGAGCTGGCATAGTTTACCCTGCAATTTGCCTTACATGGTCATAGTAATATAAATAGTGAACACTGACCTAGCCAAAATTACAATATAACTCTATTAAAGGGGGGGGATATGAGAAGGGGGCATGGGTGGTCTTTGAAGATTAAAAAAAAGTTGGGCTGGGGTTGTGGCCTCGCATGCGTGGGGGCACTGGGTTCAAGTCTCAGCACCACATAAATAAATAAAATAAAGGTATTGTGTTCATCTACAACTAAAGTAATTATAATAAAAAAAACCCATATGCTCCCCTTCCATACTTAAAAGAAAAGAAATAAAACCTAGTGCTGAAAAATCAAGATTTAGCAACTAAACATTTTTTTAGAGATGGGACTCAATGCCAACTRCATCAATCCATTTCTCATTACTATAATGAAGTGCCTGAGGCTAGCTACTTTAAAGGTTTTTTTAGCTCGTAGTTCTGGAGGTTCTAGGGCATGGCACTAGCACCACTGGGGCACTTGATGAAGGACTGAAGGCCACCACAATGGCAGGGGTGCCTGGGAGCAGGAGAGGTCACATGGCCAGACAGGAAGCCAGAGAGCCATTTGGGAGTCGGGCTCCCTCTTTAGTAACAACTCCTTCTCACAGAACTAACTAGGGGTCCCAGGAGGACTGCTTTAATCCTTCTGAGGAGAGTCCCCAGTGGCCTAAGGACCTCCCACTAGGCCCCACCTCTTAAAGGTCCCCCTGCCTCAACATCACCACACTCAARACTGAAATCCCAACAACATGAACCGCGGCTGAAAAACCACCCTCAACCACAGTGCCAACAGAATCTGTTCAAACAGCGGAAAGCTGTTGCCTCTGAGGATGAGGAGGGAGGAGAGGGGACRGAAGGCTGATTTTTATAGCAAGTCTGTAGAACTCTTTGACTCTTAAACTATGCACAGAATATAACTGTTAAAAATTAAAATTGAAGATGTTTGGAAGAGGAGATCTGGGGGCAGCCCAGGCAGAACACTCACTCAGATAGTGTGACTAGAGGACCYTGGGTGGAGCTGGGTTATGGGACAGAGAGGAGAGTCAACCTCTCATTAGATGGGACAGATGATATATTTAATATCTGTAGGAGGAAACCCCTGTGAAGAGGGGGAGATTGACTATATGGAAGAGAAG